GAGCTCTATCTTCCCCAAATTCTCGTTGGTCGTATGTTGGCCATCTCCAATGGTCTTCAGGCTTTCTTCCAACGCCTCAATTCTTTCACGGTTTGACAACATTTTTTTTTTGAGACTTTCGAAATAAATCGAACAAGATTAATTTTTTTTTTTTTTTTATACTAACATAAAACTCACGAAAAAATAGAAGAAAAAGAAGGGAAAAATCAAACAAAAGAAAAATTCGGCCCCCCAAGAAAAAGAAAAAACCGAAAAAAATAAAAAGATAAAATAGAAAAAAACACGATTGGACACTCTTAACGAAAGCACCAATGATGAGGGATCGTGATTTTGCCTACGCTTTGTGGATAATTGCGCACTCGGGGCCTTCGACTAAACACGATAGGTGTGACTTCAAGACGCACTAAGGGCCTTCTCTTGGACACGGTTGTATGATAAACACGCACTGATGGCCTTGCTTAAACACACGATGAACACAACGTTCCTTTCTATTAACTCATCAAATCTGGACATGAAAAACAGTGAGGGAAGACCCTTATTTATAGATCCTAATTATATCTAATCCTACTCCAACTAGATCTCTAATTAAAGCAATTAAATATTAAATCCTAAACATATTACATCTTCTAAAGCAATAAGGAAAATAAATACTACTAGAATCCTAATTAAGCTAATAATCTTGCTCTCCAAGTTGCTTGGACTCCACTCCAAGTTTGGCCGCCTAAGCCCAAACCGCCCTAGCTCGCGCACCGCCCATCCGCTCGTCTATTCCTCATGGCGCGCGGCTTCTCGCGCCTTGTCCGCGTCGCACGCGCACGCCGCCTCCGCCTCACCTAGTCCTGCGCGGACTGGGCTTCGCTCGTCTGCCCCACAACGCGCACGCTGATGATCGCGTCGTGCGTCCGCTGCCTTCCTCACGCGCGTGCTGTAGCGCTCCCTCCAGTCCTAGGCCTGCAAAGCCTAGGCCAGCGTGCTGCCCACTTGCACGCCATTCGCGCTCCCCGCACCTTCGCTGCCCGACGCCTGCGCGTCCCAGCCATCTGTGCGCACCTTGCTCGCCCAATCGCTCGCATCACCGCCCGATGCGCGCTGCTCGCTCACTAGCCATCTGCACAAACCCGCGCATCCGTTCGTTGGCCCAATGCAATCGCCCGCACGTGCTAACCACCCATCATCCACCCCTCGCGCGCCCATTCTCTCAGCCTCCATGCGCCATGCGCGTCGCTTCCTCGCACAAGCTTTTCACCACTCTCCTAACTTTCCCGGTACGAAGCACTCAGCATCCGCCCAATCTTCTTCCTCGTGTGCAACCGCCGTGCATCTCTTCTTAGCACGCTTAGCTTTGCGTCTCTTGTTCGCTATCGCCTCCTCTTGCTACAGCTTCTAGGCCAGTCTCGTCTAACTGTTGGCCAATATTCTTCAATTGTGGCTCTTCCGGCCCATTCTCGAGCCATTACTCGAGGTCCTCCCAAGACTCGTCCTCGGACTCACCGGGGTTAATAACCACTTCCGTATCAACTCCCAGCGGTGCATCCCAGCGTACACAGCAACGTGCTAGCGCCCAGCAGTGCGCCCGCACGCTCAGTAGTACGCTCGCGCGTCCACCAACGCGCCAGCATGCGCGGTGGCAGCCAACAGTGCCCCGCAGCTCCCAGTAGCGCACTTGCACTCCTAGCAGCGCACCAACGCGCTTATGCGTAAGTGGGTTTTGACCCCCGATGACAAGAAGGACCGAAAGCCGAGTCGAACAGATGAGGCTGAAAATAGGGCAAAAACGACGCACGCATGGCCTAAGAGACGGGTACGAGCTCGTATGTGAGGCGCAAGGACACGCGAGAAAGGGCGCATTCAAGAAGGGCGCGCACACGTGCATTGGCGTAGACACGCATGGCGCTTGGAGGTTAGGTGAAGTGGTGCGCAGAGGGAGGTTGTTGGGTGGGCGAGCGATGGGCGCTGGGCGAGGCAGCGCTGGGCGATGGCACGCATGGGCGCGCGATAGGCGAGCACAGCGCATGGGTGTCGGGCGACAACCGCGCAGGTGGCGCACACGCGGGCAGAGGCAAGGCTAAGGTGACAAGCCTAATCCTCGTAGGAATAGGCAAGGCACGAATACTAAACCCCGCAGGAATAGGAAAAGCAGCTGAGTGCCGGAAGGCTCGTGAAAGATTGATTACGGGAGTAATCCTCGGAAGATCAGGCAACATAGCCGGGAGCATATGCAAGACAAGTAATGAGGAGATCTAGTAGATTTAGGATTTTTTGGTAGTAGGATATTTACTTGCCTTAGGATTTAATATTTTATTGTTTTATTAGTTTCCTAGTAAGATTAGCACTAGAGGTAATTAGCACCTATAAATACCCCATGTACCTTTCATTATTTTATGTCTTGAATTGAGTATTGAATTGGTGAGCCAATTGTGAGGGGAACTTTATATTCTAACGTGTGATAAACAAGGCCGTTAGTGCGTGTTTACATACAGTGTCGGAGAGAAGGCCCCGAGTGCGTCTCGAAGTCACAGTATCTAGGAGAAGGCCCTGAGTGCGTCTGTTAGATACACCTATCGTGAGTAAACGAAGGCCCTGAGTGCACGTTTATTCACAACCCGTATAGACAAAAATCTGATCCGTCATCATTGGTGCTTTCATTGAGAGGTGCTGATCGAATTTTTGTCTATCGTATCTTTTTTTTCGGTTTGCCTTTTGCTGAGGGACCGAATTTCTCTTTTTTTTGGTTTAATTTTTGTTTTTTTATTGGGGGTTCAAATTTTTCGAAATTTTCCCTATATTTTTTCGAAATTTGTGTCTTAAAAAAAAGTGTCATCTAGTCCTTTGTTTTATATTTTTTCGGTTATTACCTTTTATTGAGGGGCCGAATTTCTCTTTGTTCTTTGAACTTTTT